GTCCGCGTCCGCGTCCCCGGGGGCTGCGCGGCTCCATCCGCGGCGGCGGGCGCGCCCCGACCCTCCCGCGGAAGTCCTCGCGGTGTGCCGATAAATGCAGTGACTGCTGTAACACTAACGTCTTGTTTCTCGATGGTCAGTTTGTTTGGAATGCACCTACAAGGGTACCTCCTTGTCTGAAAGTCGTGCTTTCAAAGTAATTAATTAAAAGACAGAAAGCGGTGGAATACATTATGGCCCGTACAGAAAACCCCGAATGTCTCCCGTACGAAGGTGAAGTTTTTCTTTTTTAAGAGACTGCTCTTTAACCCCCGTCATAGAATACCTCATGACCCCTAGGCTTGCGGTTTTCAGTGTCATCCCATGTGTTTATTTTCTGATGCATCTTGTAGTTTCCTCTTGAAGGGGACTTGACATCAGGCCTTTAACTTTCATTAGATAGTAACCCCTCTTGTTGCACCAGATTTGGAAGTATTTGTTTCATGCCTGAAACGTAAATTCTTGATTCATTTAAAAGAGTATAGTAAAAATGCACGTTGGGCATCATGCAGTTCAATTATGTAAATTTGATAAACTTGTAAAAAGTCATTATCGTAGGTGCAGTAATAATACTCTTTGAAATGTGAATGTGCGAGATTTCTTTTACAAAAATCTGGAAATCTTCAGTACCTTGTAGACTTACTTTTATAGCAGTAAAGTCTTTTTTTTTCTTTTTTTTTCCGTAAAAGACGTGTCTTGTTAAGAATTACAAGGTGATCTAACTTTGGATATGCTTATAGGCCCATGGGACGTGCATGTGCACAGTGATTTGGCAAAGGACCTAGGTTAGTGCTTGTGATGATCACTTCAGATTTTTATAATACTGCTTTCTTTAGAAGCTTGGTTTATTTATTTATCTTATTTTATTTGGTAGATGAAAATGAAGTTGAAAGGCCAGAAGAAGAAAACGCCAGGTTAGTGAAATTTCTGTTGATGGCTTACACAAATGTGCGATGCAGTGGTTCTGGCCACAAATTGTTAAAATTATTTTGTAATCATTGGCTTGGTCATAACATTTTGAGTAAAGGTTGGAGGATATTGTATCCTTTAGGTTTATTCCTATTTCAGGGCCTAATTTTATACCAGTTGTGTCTTGCTAGAATCTTAGAGACAGCTTTTGAGGGTAGGGTTTGACTGCTTTTCATTACTGAATAACTTTTTACTCTTCAGGTGAGCTCAGTAGTGGAGTATACAACATACTCATTAAACTAATGAGAAAAATATATTAAAAATTAAACCCTGAAAATAAGTACTTTTTAAAGAATTATTAATATTTTTGATGGTATAATATGCTTTGATTTTAATTTTATTGCTTTATATTTACTTATATTGAAAGTAGAATTTTTCTTTGTTTAATAGGTATAAATTTCATTTACAGGAGATGTACAGGGACCAAAAATTTGCTGTAAATTTCAGAACAGTTCATGCATAGGTGTATATGGCTATGCTGACTTTACTCTGACCAGATGCCTTAGTGTACTAAACAATGAATAGAGGACTAAAGGGCATTTGGATTTAAAAAGTGGAGGAGATACCATTTCATGTTTAGTAGAATGTTTGCTGTCAAAGAGATGGAAAATGTTGGTGAGGATATGGAGCAATTGGAACCCTTTGTGTGGTACTGGTAGGATTCTAAAATGGTGCTGCTGCCTTGCACAACTGTGGCAGTTTTCTTAAGTGATGAAATAGTTACCATGTGACCCAGCAGTTTTACCTGAGGCGTATACCTTAGAAAAATAAAAAAAGACCTCAGTATGTATGTACATGAATGTTCACAGTAGCATTACTCATAATAGTTAAAAAGTGGGAACAACCCAAGTGACTATGAACTGGTGAATGGATAGACTAAACGTGATACACTCAATAGTAGAATACTGTTGTGAAAAGAAATGAAGTACTGCTAATTGTTACAACGTGGATGAACCTTGAAAACATTATATTAAGCGAACAGTGCCAGTCACGAAGGACAGCAGGTTGTGTGACTTCACTTATATGAAATGTCCAGAATAAGCAAATCCATTGAGGCAAGAAGATTAGTGTTTGAGCCAAGGGAAAAAAAGTGGGTGGCTGTTGATACATACGAGATTTTTCTTGTGATCCATTGGAATTTGTTATGGTGATTGCATTGTGTGAACATGCTAAAACTCATTCTGTTTTACCCTTTAAATGGATGGATGAAAATTGCATCTCACTCAGTAAAGCTGGTATAACAAATACAACAAAAATGGCAAAAGGGTTGAATTGAGGAGAGGAAGTAGAAATAGCTTAGAAAGAGGAACAGTTAAAATTACAGAATTTTTCCTTTTTCTTATACCCCCTATATTTTTCTTCATTCATTGCTATATATTTTTTTTTTTAGTCATTTTGAGATAGAGTCTCGCTATGCAGTTCAGGCTGGCCTTGAGCTCACTTATGTATCTGAAATTTAGTTTTGAGATTGATGTATTTGACTCAGTACGTAATTCTAATATCAGCCACAAATTTGGGATTAATGTAGGTCATAGTTATGAAAGTGATTAAATGTCTTATCGTACCCATCTCTTCAGTTTGTCAAGAAACCAGCTGAATATAAGGTGTAGAGTTAAGATCATATTATATTTACGAGACAGTCTTTATCCCATTGATTTTTATTGCTTCTTATGTACAATTGTTGAGGTTTGTTTCCTGTGAACTTTAATTCTCCAATACACACCCGAATAAAATGTATTGGAGAGAAGTCATCTTTTACCTTCCCTGCGCGTCACTGTCAGAACTTCTTTATATTTCTTATTAAAATTTAGAGAGCTATTAGTTTTATTCCCTGAGAAATAAATTATCTTTAAAGTTTTATTCTTCTAGAAAAACTTTATAGGTTTATCAAATTTCTAACCAATTAACGTTGATAGAGGATGAAAACTTCTTGGGGCTGGGGATTTAGCTCAGCGGCAAAAGCTCCTGCCTGGCAAGCGCAAGGTCGTGAGTTCGGTTCCCGGTACCGGAGAAAAACCAAAAAAAAAAAAAAAAAAAAAAAAAAACTTCTAAAAGAATAGGTCTGTTAGGAAAAGAAATTTTGCCAAACCTACTATCTAGCTTGGTATTACCGCCCTGTGGAAGGTAGGTTCCTGCTAATGGAATTTGCGCCAGCTTCTTTGTGACTGGTTCATTGCTGAACACTGTCCTTAGCCATTGCATTACACTGTCTACAGTTCTGTAGGGGTTCATCCATTTAAATTTTGATAAGTGTAGTATACTATTCTGTGACATGAGAAGCAAGTGACAGTGCAATGCACAGCACACACGAATGCACACAAACCAAACCAAGAAAGCAAAAAATAGAACTTGTATCTGGTTATCTAGAAGTTTGTTTAAGTAGGAAGTACATGTACTGGACGACTGTAGTTGAATATTTGTCTCTTGAGTCAAGCATTACAAGGAAAATCTAACAGTTAAAGTTTTAGTTTCTCTTTTTTCAGGGGTGGTGTTCTAAAATGCTATTGTGGATGAAATTTAATCGATTGAATTTATTAATTTGAGAAAAATTCAAGTTTAGAAGAGATTAGCAGAAATCTAATGAGTTCTGACCTATGGCAATAGCTGGACATTCTTCTTAGAAGTACTGTACTTCTAAGTTTTTCTGAGACATGGGCCAAACCAGTTGGTTGCTGGGTGCATCAATTTTCCTATTTGTAAAATGAGGTGATGGCTAATTCCTTCTCTCAAAATTAAAATTATTAAAAATACAAGAATCTAGTAGTAGTTCTAGAAGTGCTGTTGGTTAACTTTGAGCATAAATCTCATGGCAGTGTATTTTATTGTTATACTATATGTAATTTTTTGTTGTAAAAGGATAAATTTCACTGGAGTTACTTTCTTTTTGTGGTTTTGGGAATAAAACTCATGACCTCATGCTTGCCAGGCAGGTGCTGTGCCGCGGAGCTATATTCCAAGGCTTGGAGTTACTGTTTTAAAATTCATCAAAATTTAAAAAAAAACTAAAATTCATCAAAATGAGGCCCATAGCTCCTTGGTAGTACCAAATTCAGGAAGAATCTTACGTGAAGATACATTTTTTTTTTACTGTAAAATGTTTCTTACATAACAAAAGACGTATCCGATAGGATTGATGAGCTAGGAAATCAGGGAGAAGTGTGTATGTTAACTGAGTGTGATCATGTCATAAACTGAGTTTCATGAACACCAAGGGAAGGAGGAGACTTATATAGCTGTTAGGTGTTACAGGAGAACCTGGATCATAGTAGATTTAGGATCAAAATTAAGTGTGCTGTGTACTTCTAAAATGTAAAGACTTGAGTTATATCCCACTGTCAAATTGCAAGTCATTCACAAATTGTAGCAGCATTTCCATTCTACCCCAGTGTGCTTTTTATTTTCTCTGCACTTCTGGGGATTGAACCCAGGGCCTTGTACATGCTAGTCAAATGTTCTACACCCTAGTCGTTACTTCTAATGTTGAGTACTGTTGTAGTCAGGGCTTACAAGGGAATAGCTTTAATATAGGACACATAATTTATAGGATTATTTTATAATATTCACCCAAAACATCAAATGCAGAAGAGTGCAGAACTGTCCACGCACTAGAGACCTAAAGAATCCAATTGAGGGCCTGGATCCCACAGCAGTGTCCTGCACGAGTCCAGCTAAAGACCTAGAGCCCATGGCAATGTCCTCCATGAGTCTAGCTGGAGGCTTAGAGCCCTAGACAGTGTCTCCCTGTGAGTCAGTCTGCACTGAGAAGGCCCAAAGGTGGAAGCTAGAAAGTCTGCAGCAGCGGAATGAAGGGTCTGTGCCAGCAGGCTGAGGGACCTGTATTGGATCGTGGAAGCAATTCTCAAGGTATTGATCAGAGCTCCCCTAAGAAGAACTGCAGCCATCCACAGCTATAGTGAGGACCTGAGCTCTTCCGTTCATATCATGAAAACCAGTGTAACAGACTTCTCCAGGAGAATCAATAGCACACCGTCTTGCCCTCCAGTTTTCCTTTGGTGCTCGTGGCAACAGTCCTCAGGTGGGCTGACACCCAACACCATGCATGTTCAATTGAGCTGGGTGTTACAAATTGACAATTAGTAAATCCACCCCGGCCAACTGGGTAATGAGACACATTTCCTTAAACCTCAGTCTCCCATGGCAGATTTGTAAAAAATTGACGTGTCTTGAACTGTACAGATTTATATTAATATAACAATTACATATATACACTTATTGCACTCATTTCCACACCAAAAGCAAATATTTAGAGGGTTCTCAAAATTCAAGGTTAAAGTCACAATACTTTGACTGAATAATCTGAGTACAAACATGTATCTAAAAACTACATTATTTAAGAGAGCTATTACAGTCACAATCCTTGCTTCCCATTCACTTTTTTTTTTTTTTTTTTTTTTTTTTTGGTACCACAAATTGAACTCATGGCCTCAAACTTGCCAAGCAAGTGCTTATGCCGCTGAGCTATATCTCTGGCCCTTGCATTCACTTTTAACAACAGAGCATGGCAACGCTAAAAAAATAAAAATGCACCAAGGGATCTCCTGCATTTCAAATACACTCTTCCCCTCTGTTGAAAGGCCCTAGGTCATTTTTTTCATTGTCCTGTTCCTTCTCAACAACATGTTCTCCTCTGTTTCATCCTTGCAATCCACAGCTCCATTGGAGCCAGCCTTCTGGCCAGAAGCCCTCAATAGCAACCAAGCCACCATCCCAACGGTAGACTACCTTGAAATTTTTCTTATACCCAGGCAGTCTCTCTACATAAACATGAGTAGGTGCAGACCAACTTCCTGCCAAAGCAAAACCACCTGAGAGCCAAAGCCACTGCCTCTGTAACCAATCTCTCAAAACTCCAGATTAATTTCCAAGCCTCTTAAGCCATACAGCCAGGCAATGGCAACATTCCTAGTATCAATTTTGTTGTAATGAGGGTTTGCAAGGGTATAGATTTGATACAGGACACATAATTTATAGGATTATTTTATAATACCTAAAAAGTCAAATGCAGAAGAGTTCAGGAGATCTGTCCATGCACTAGAGACCCCGAGAATCCAGCTAAGGGCCTGGATCCCATGGCAGAGTCCTCCATGAGTCCAGCTGAAGGCCTGGAGCCCATGACAGTGTCTCATGCAAATCTGTATCAAGGATCTACACTGGGAAGGCCCAATCAAAGGTCAGTGATGGGAGCGAGAAAGTGCACCAGCAGGATGAAGGGTCTGTGCCAGCAGGCTGAGGGATGTGCACTGGAGCTAGAAAGCAGCGCTCAAGGTAATGATCAGAGCTACCCCGGGAAGAACCATAGCCATCCTGAGCTTCACTAAGGACCTGAGCTCTTCCATGAGAACAGCTTAGTTCGTATCAGGAAAACCAGGATGACAAGCTTCTCCAGGAGAATCAACAGCACACTATCTTCCCTTCCAGTTTTCCTTTGATGCTCTTGGTAACAGTCCTCAGGTGGGCCTTCCACACCCATTACCAGCTTATTCAGTCAGCTGGGGGTTACATGTTGCCCATTATTATTTCACCAGAAGTACGTATTTTATGCAAGATATTAGCTGTAACAAGGAAAAAGACACATTTTCCTATTGTTCTTACCGTCCAGTGGAGACAGTCTCTTTAGAAATAACACTAATTTTGTCATAAAGGCACAGAGACAGGTCTTCCAGACCCACATTTATTCTGCAGCATATTTCTATTGATAGATTGTTCATTTTAATTTTGAGTTTTATTATATTAAACAATGAGTACTAAATAGGAAAAAATCACCCCAAAACATTGAATTTTATTGAATGTTTATAAAGCATCAAAATTTTCAACATTGATTTTTTTGGTGTACAAAGTCTAAAAAGGAACAATACAAATTTTTACATGAACTATAGTGAAAATACCAATAGCACTTTACAGAAAAAACTCTTATCACGTCTATGCACACATGACAACAGTATGTTCCATATACACATATCATTTACCTTGGCACCACATGTGGTTTGCTTTTCTGGGCTTTTTGTATGATATACTTCACATCTCAGTGCTCTTGCTGTTTTGTCAGGAGGTTCTTGTGATACTGTGTGTAGTTAATGGGAACATAAAATATCAATAAATATTAAATTCTTAATATGTGTTGTATATTTGGAATAAATATCAACATTTTCACATCATCTGTGTACTTGCTTACAAACCTAAAAAGATAACATCAGAAATAAATTCCTATACAAACTGCGATGAAAGTACTGGTGGACCTGTAAAATAAAAATAATCTTTGCTTCAACTATCATACCAAAGCAGTCTTCACACATGGCAGCTGCATGTTCCATGCACAAGAATCACTTACGCTGGTAGCACATATGTTTCATTTTCCTATACTTTCTTGTAGGACACAGTTGACATCTTTTTGGCTTTCCTCTTGTCATAGTAGGTCTTTGTGATGCTGCCGCTGCCTGTTCACCTGTTGGCTCGCCAGTGAGGTCCACAATTTTTTTTTTTTTGCATAGTTCCCTGGGCAGAAACATTTGTTTTTCCTCTGCTGTAAATGATCTCTTATGAACTCCAGTCCCAGTGCTCTAAGAAAATTTCTCCGTGATATTTTGCACTTGTTATTTTCTTTGTAAACTGTCAAACTATGCCACACGTTTCAAGTGGGAGTAAAACATGACCATTGGCCAATGCTTTGTGTTTCGACTGACGTTATAGTTGCTGCATAACTCATCAGCAACATCTGGTCCACCTTTGGTTTTGTTGTAGAAAGTTTGTGTCTCAAGCTTCCTTTCTTTGAGGTTTCCCTATCAATATTTCCATCATGGTGCAATGTTGACATCAGTAGTACCAGTTTGTTTTCTTTGCCATCTGCAACAGTACAGTTCGCTGTTTTAAAATTGCAATATTTCGTTTGAAATTTCTGCTTTATTCCTGTATGCAGTTCCTGTGCTGGTCAACTTGTACTCTGTTAGTAACATCAGTTAGAAACTGGTATACCAGTTGTCGAATGTCACATTCCAATAGTTCGGGAGATGAGAGCAACAGATCTGTTCACCGTGTCATTTGGTTTATTACTACACAAATAAGGACCTGATGATTGAATTCCAGGATAAATGTCTAAATTGAAAGCATAGTAAATCTTTGCATCTACAAGGGCATAAATTTTTATGCCATATTTTGACCTACTGCTTTTCAGTAAGTCTTACATTCCTAGGATCATGAAAAATCCCTGCTAAGTACAGGAGACCTATCAATGCTTTCAGTGCAGCTAGTTATAATAAATACATAATACATGTATGTTTGTCGTATGTAATATATATGTAACGTGTATGTGTTATCATAAATACATTTTTGAATGGTGCATACAGAATGCTTTACTTGCGTTTCAGCCTTCGTGTATTTTACAGCATCTTGTAGTATTTTGTCCATTACAATTTACATTGAATGGCATTGCTGGCATTCTGTCCAGTATGTTCATTCCTGCCAAGATCCTCACTACATTTTCGGACCCAGTTCTAACACTGGATCGTTCCATTTGATTGTGTGGCCATTTCACAGCATTTCCCCTGTCAAATATGTACTCAGATTGCTGTTTTCTTCGTCATCTGAATCGCGGAGGTCTGCATTCCCCATGTCTGTATGGGTCGATTCTTGCTCCATTTCATTGTCACAGAAACTTTGGCTTACAGGGGCAGTGTCAAAGTCGTTGTCGTCATCATCATCATCATCATCCACTCACACCACTCTTCTGTAATGAAAGCATGTGTTTTACCATAATGGATCTTCACCACCCAGGCATGAGTAATCTGATGATGCACTTTTGACCTCCTCCAAAACTTGCAAATCTGACTTTTCATGAGCCATTATACTGAATTGGACTGCTTCTACCAGAAAAATCAAAAGAAAGTGTGTTTTTAAGGAATTCTGGAGTGTTGTGAAGTCTGTTGGACCCTCTGTTGTACTTGGGTAAACATACACAAAACTAGGTAGACGGAGCATAGTATGGGTAAAAACCCCATTTTGGTACTTGTGCACATGTGCGCACATCTTGCTGTTCATCATACCAAATGGGTAAACACATAGATTTCTTTCTGTATCCCTCAGGGAAAGGTACTGAGGCGCACAATAGTGTACTGTTACACTAATAAGTACAAGTTTACTGTAGAAAAGTAAGGAATGGGCCTGCTGGACCCGGTGTTATGCACCTCAGGTTTTTAATAGACATAACTGAAAAACAGTAATATAATCTGTGTGTACTTTCAACAGCAGTGTCTGATATAGGTACCTTTTGTTGTTTGTAGTGCTAATCCTCCATCTGGAATTGAAGATGAAACTGCTGAAAATGGTGTACCAAAACCGGTAACATAAACATAAAACTTTGAAATCCAGTTACTTTGCTATTTAAAACCTTTACCAGTCGCTTTGTAGTTGCATAAAAATAAAGCCAACATTTACCATAATGTCCAGTATTCTGTGTGATCTGGCCCCTTACATCTCCTACTTCATTTGGTACCATCAAAAAAATTGATAGGACTTAGGAGAATAAATGGGAAGAGACTACAAAAGAAATACAACGTGCAAAGCTTGATGTGCTTTCAAAAAACTGAATGGTTGCAGATTTACTGAATAGATCATAGTGAGGTTGATTTTCAAAGCAAACACTGAATCCTGCAACCTAAGTTTAAATGTTAGGGTTTTTCAGCAATTACCTTTTTATGTGTGACTAGTCCCGAATTTCATACCCATTAATGGATGTTTTTGGAAGCCTATGAATATTTGTATGCTTTAATCTTACTAGAAAGAAGGAAATTTATTTTGCAAACTTGATCTTGTATATAAAATGTATTTTGCCTAAGTAATATTCTTATTTATAATATTTTAGTACATACAGTACTGGCCTTTTAGAGCCATAACAAAAAATTCATAAATGGCTTCACTTTAAAGGTGCAAGTTATTCTCTCAGTGATTTGCATGCAGGGGCTCTTTTAGGTGTAAATGAATGCTAAGAGTAATGAAATTGCTCCATTACTGTTGGTATTGTTTAACTTTGGTACTGTGAATCTTGGCTTTGTTTTCCTCTTATGTAAGAAGAAAAGAATTTCTCAAATACTTACTTCTTTATGGCTTTATCTGGTAGATATCTTACTACATTACTTTGGATCCTTTTTGCAATAAGGGCAGTTGTAAAAAGTAAGAAAAAAATTTATCATGTAGAACATTAAAGTTGCAAATGAATTGAAATACAGTGGGTAGAAGCTTTTTCTAAGTGTTGAAATGTATTATTGAAAGGACTTTATAATTGTTTATATTGGTGTAGAAAGTGACCGAGACTGAAGATGATAGTGATAGTGACAGTGATGATGATGAGGATGACGTCCATGTCACTATCGGAGACATTAAAACAGGAGCGCCACAGTATGGGTAAGTTATTTTTAATTAACAGTCTGTGAAAGCTACATAACAAATGTATTGTGTCTGTATCAGATTGTCAGTCTGTTGTGTTTAAATTTTCTATCTCAACGTGATACAAAAGAATTCTTACCAAAATGTCCCTACAAAGATAATTTACTAAATATAAAATCAGTTAACTAGGGAGGTATAGGAAAGCAGCAGTTTTTGATTCCTGCATTTAAAATAAGTTTTAAAGAATTGAGGGCTTCAAATTCTGTGGCTAGAATTGGATAACCTTAAATTGTAATTTCATCTGTGTTTATCATTTTCACATTATTACTTATCTGAACCTTAACTTAGGTTCCTAATTTGTTTTGGCAAATAAAATAGTTTCAAATGTATTACTTTTGTCTTCATAATTCATTTTTCAAGCTGTTAATTATTCATTAGGCTTTTTAGGCCAATGTATTAATCTCATGTTCCACAAACTGGACCAAGTAAACAGATTGTCATTGTCCTTCGGATGCATAAAGAACCATAAATAGAAGAAGGGACTGTGTTAAAGTGCTTATGCTTTGTGATTTTGTTATGGTAATAGAAGTGAGTCAGTGTTTTTTGTTTTTCAAATCAGCTTTATGGCCAGGTGTGAGGGGGGCACACATTATTCCTGGCAATCAGGAGGCCAAGGCAGAATAATCACTGTAAGTTCAAGGCCAGCCTTAACTACATAGTTCAAAGCCAGCCTGGCCTAATTAAAAACAAAAAAGTCAAATTGGCTGTATTATGTGGTTACTAAAATTTGTGCCTTGGATACATAAAATCATAAAGTAACTTCATTAATTTCATTAAACAACCTTATCTGGAATCAGAATTATACTGTATATGTAAATATTTGTGAATATTTTATTTCTTTGGTAAAGCTGCTTCTTTGAAAAGTCCTTTTTCTGGAAGATTAGAGGTATTCAGTTATTGTTATAGTCAACTTTACAGTAGTTTTTTTATGCAACTTTTTAGGGAATAAAGAGATTCACTTACTCATTAGGGGTAGAAACATTTTTTTTTTTTTTTTTTTTTTTTT